TTTCCTCTGACACATCAGTTTCCCCTTTGTACTCAGATCCCCGGGATGCACGGTCTAGATCTTTGCTCACAGGGCTGACCTTTCCTGCCAGTTCACCACCCCTCTCCAGCAGTTCCTGTATTCACTAACCCTGGTGAATAACAAAGGTTCTTTCTTTCTCATTTGTATTATTTCTTATAGAAAAATATCTGGGCATCTCCCGACCCAAAATGTTCTCAAGGAGAAGACAACACCAGGATTTCCTTGGTATTACCAGTGCCCCATTGATTATTTGCTTAAGTTCCTCTCCCAGTCCAGAGGTAAGAGAGCTTTTTCAATGTCTTCTTTTGGGGTGGTGTTTCCTATTCCAGTCTGATGACTTAACTGTGGAGAAAGTCTCTTCTCCCGAATCTGAATTTGCCCCTCTCTCAGTCTAGTCAGGCAAAATTACACTTGTGTCAACAGAGGTCAGTGAAAAAGAGTAAAGTGAAAGTGTTAGTCGCTTTGCGACCCCGTGGACTGCAGCCCACCAGGCTCCCCTGTCCATGGAATCGTCCAGGCAGGAGTACTGGAGTGGGGTGCCATTCCCTTCTCCAGGGGACTTCCCAACTTCGGGATCAAACCTGGGTCTTCTGCACTGCGGGCAGATTCCTCACCATCTGAGCCCCAGGCAAGCCCTCCCTCAGTCAAGGAAAATCATACTTGTGTCAGCAGAGATCAGGCTTCCCGGGTGCTCAGGCCGAAAGAAGCCAGCTGCAATGCTGGAGACCTAGGTTCAAAAGATCCCCCAGAGAAGGCAATGGCACCCCACCCCAGTGTTCTTGCCTGGAGGATTCCATGGACAGGGGAGCCTGGCGGGCTGCGGTCCCTCGGGTCGCAAAGCATCAGACACGACTGAGCATCTAAGCACGCAGCCCAGGTCAGTAGGTATTCTTAATTCAGGAAGAATGCAATTATTATCGCTGCAAAAGGGGCGGTGCAGAGGTGAACTTCACAGCTCAGTCCTTACCTATTTAGCACATTTTATCCTCCGAGCTATAGCCCACTGACCAGAAACACAGTTAGCCCCTAATACTGACATCTCTGGGTTTCCCAGGTGGCTCAGTGGTAAAGAATCCGCCTGAAAATGCAGGAGACACTGGAGATGCAGGTTTGATCCCTGAATCGGAAAGATCCCCTGGAGGAAGAAACGGCAACTCATCCCAGTGTTCTTGCCTGGAAAATCCCATGGACCGAGGAGCCTGCCTGGCAGGATATAGTCCACAAAGAGTTGGACGTGAATGAGCGACTAAGCTGCTCACATCAATATCTCAGCATTCCTTTCAAACCCTCTCATTTCATGAGCTTAATTTCTCTAGAAGATTATGGTTTCTACCCTTAAAATAACCAAAATGAATGGCTGTTTCTATTTCCTCGCCTCTTGGAAGGCTCTTTGCTTTTATTTCCAAAATCTGTTTTTCCTGCCTCAGGTGGCCCTTCCAGTTCTATGTAGGACAACCACCAGACCAGAATCAAATTAGTGGGCAATTCCAGTGCCAAGGGCAGGTTTGGGAGGCCAACTGCTTCCTCTTCTCCATCTCATATGATCTCAGGCAGATGAGACACGTATTAGTGATGTGAAGATGGGCCAAACTAAAATGACAACTGAAGTTTCAAGTCAGCTATTTCTTTTCATTTACTGAGGGCAGGCATTTTTACCTTTAGTTTTCTTTCTTTTGAAACAGCTAAAAGACAGTTATAAAGGGGCAAGTTTGTTTCTTAATGAATTCAAGATCTTTTTAGGAAGGCTAATTTATAAATTGCTCTTAAAGTACTATTTCTGGGTAGTCCCAGTATTTTCTCCACATCATATTTCAGAAGGCTTATTACAAAATCTCTTTAGTGTTTAAAATACATGTAAAGGTATTTTATTCCTTGTCTTTTTGATTTATAATCAAAATCCTCTGATCTTAACCCCAGCTACTTTCCACTTTATCATACAATGCCACCAAAACCAGAGAGACATGTCCACGTTATGTAAGTCCTAGCACTGGTTTAACAAATGATTTTGTAATCTTTTTCATTTCTCTACTTTAAGCCTGTTCCTTCTGAGCGTTTCAGTGGCATATTCTAGCCACAAATCAAAATATTTTTCTCATATCACTTGCATTACACTCCCAATATATTTCTCTATTTTCTGGCGGCTTTCAACCTCACTAAATCATTGTAATACTTGATGGATGATCAAATCACCCAATAGTGTACTTTCTCTAGGGAATTTCACCCTTACAGGTGACACCTGTCATGGACATTTTATAATAATCCTGGAAATGTTTTAATATCTTAAGATTTGGTTAACTGTTGTAGCTCAATTATATATCCATTACTAGCTTCAGAATGACATTTCTTAATTCTCTCATTCAACTATATGGAATGGTTCATTTATTTACACTTTATCTGCCTGCAATGTGGAGACCTGAGTTCAATCCCTGGGTCGGGAAGCTTCCCTGGAAAAGTGAATGGCAACTCACTCTAGTATTCTTGCCTGGAGAATTCCACACAAAAAGGAACCTGAGGCTACAGACCATAGGGTCACAAAGAGTCTGATGTGGCTGAGCGACTAACATTTTCACTTTCTTTCACTTTGAATCTTTCCATATTAAACTGCACAATGTTCATCTCATAATGTCTCTCTTCTATTCAGTCACATGCCAACTACCATCATGGTGTGTATCATTTGGCAACCCTAGTGAATAAACACTCGTGTCAATTTTATCACAATGATTTAATCCAAAACATAGACGAGAAGAGCATCTTAGTTCAGAAATCCCAGATGAGTATTCAAAGTATAACCCACATGCTGCTCTCTCTGGGGAGCTTCTATTCTTACCACACTTTAGTCCTAAAGGGGTACTCAATGGGGGTTCAAATTCAACCACAAGGAAATACCAGCACCATGAGTGAGTTAAAGGGATCCACTAAGAATTTTGTTGAGAGCTAGAAGGGATGGCTGGCTTTGAGCTCCACACCATAAATAAGTTTGTGTGTGAGTGCTGTGACCAGTCATGTCCGACTCTGCGACCCCATGGACTGTAGCCCACACGGGCTCCTCTGTTCGTGGAATTTTCCAGGCAAGGATCCTGGAGCAGGTGGTCATTTCCTACTCAAGGGTATCTGCAGAACCCAGGGATCGAACCCTTGTCTCTTGCATCTCCCGCATCCTCAGGTGGATTCTTCACCATGGAGTCTGGGAAGCCATAAGCAACTTAGTCTTTAAAATTCCCTTCAGGGATTTCTGGGCCTCAGTCATCTTGTTTGGTTAACTTGCCAGTCTGTTTCCTTTTCCCTTGACTTCTCTACTATTTAATCAAATCACACATCATATCTTCCACTTTCACAAATACTCACTACAGACATGTGGCCTTGGGGTCTCCCTTATTATGTAGAAAAATACCATCAGGATTCTAGCCTTCTTTGGACCTCTCCAGAATGTTACTGATTTAAAATTTCCCCCATTTTTTTATTATATCATAAACTTGTTTAAGGCTTTTCTTTTCTTGTATAACCAACAAAATATCATAAAGAAATTATCCTCCAATTAAAATAAATTAGAAAAACAGAGAGAACAGTATTCTAAATGGTATAATTTATAATGACCCTCTATGCATTCTCCAAGGGCTTCCTAGGAGTTTCGGTGGTAAAGAATTCGCCTACCAATGCAGAAGCTTAAGGAAATGTGGGTACCATCCCTGGGTCAGGAAGATCTCTTGGAGGAGGAAACAACCTGCTCCAGTATTCTTGCCTGGAAAACCCCATAGACAGAGGAACCTGAAATGCTACCATCCGTGGGAGTGTGAAAAAGTCAGACACGACTGAGCTTGCACTCACACGCATTCTATAACACATTGTAAATATAAGTTTTATAGAGTGGCATAAGCTGCATTTATTGCAAATATATCTTATTTACATAAAAAGAATATGCTCAAACATATCTTAATATGCTCAAAATTATATCTTAATTTACATAAAAAGAATATGCTCAAACTGAAAAAGTGTTATATACTTAACAGATTTTTAAGTATATAATACTGTAGTATTGTCTATAGGCAAAATGTTGTACAGGTGATCTCTAGAACATTCACCTTGCAAAACAGATTTTATATCAATTAATTAGGGACTTTCCTGGTGCTCAGATGGTAAAGAATCTGCCTGCAATGCAAAAGACCCATGAGACTTCGGTTCAATCCCTGGGTTGGGAAGATACCCTGGAAAGGGGAGTTAGCAACTCCCTATTAACCTCTTCCCCCAATCCATGGAAACCACAATTTTAATTTTTTCTCCCTTGAGTCTAATTTGTTACCTCATGTAAGTGAAATTGTTCAGTATTTGTCTTTCTGTGACTGGTTTATATCATTTAGCATAAGCTCCTCAAAGTTCATCTATGTGCCTATACTGCAGGCATGAAAAAGAATGAATTTGGATCTTTATCTTAAACATTATATACAAAAATCAACTGAAAATGGATTAAAGAATTAAACATAATATCTGAAACTATAAAGCTCCTAGAACAAAAATAGGGAAGTCTTTTAATGTAAGAATGATTACATGGTAAAGTTTGTTGTGATAAGCCATAAAAGTCTTTGTAGTGTGTTATAAGTCTGCACATTATAGAAACATTACAATAACACTGAAATACATAAGTATGTTATCTGAAACTATAAAGCTCCTAGAACAAAAATAGGGAAGTCTTTTAATGTAAGAATGATTACATGGTAAAGTTTGTTGTGATAAGCCATAAAAGTCTTTGTAGTGTGTTATAAGTCTGCACATTATAGAAACATTACAATAACACTGAAATACATAAGTACGTAGACGGATCATTGTAAGAACTTTTACAAATATCCTATTCCATTATTTTCTGGGGTGGATAATATGAACTCATTTTTATTAGCAAGAAAGCCAAGCATATTTAAACATATTAAATGCTTACATTTAACTATCATGAACAGCGATTTGTGTTATTATTTGAACATTTTACTTACATCTGACAGATGACCAAAAGTTGGCTTAGCTGTCTGAAGCATAAGTTGCTTGGTCACTGGGTCTAATGCTGGAGGAAAACCAAACAAAATATATTAGAATATCATGAAAAGAAATAGAAAAGCACAAGTGGAGAAGTGGCTAAAAATATCTTTATCAATATTTTGAAATAAAAAGACAAAATTGGATTTTTCCCTGATAATAAAATTGGCTCACTGAAGATTCTTCTTAAATTCACATTCACAGAAAACCAGATAATCACTGAGAATTTAGCATGAATTATTTAATTTATACAACATCTAATTTCAAACTTAGAAATTATGTAGTACTTAATTAGTGGCAGATATTATCGGTTGCCTACACAAAAGCTATTACCTTATTCCTTGCCAGAATTACTTTCCATGACAGAGGATAAAAATACCAGCATATGCTTATTATATAAGACACTATGCTCTTAGGTCTTGTGATACAAACTAATTTATCAACCAAACGGGGGCATATTTGAGAGTAAAAAGGAAGTATGCATAATACATAGGCAAAAGTGTCTAAAATGCAGCACTGTATACAAGCTCAAAAACAACAGAATGATCTCAGTTCATTTCCAAGGCAAACCATTCAACATCACAGTAATCCAAGTTTACACTCCAACCACCAATGCCAAAAAAGCTGAAGGTGATGATTTCTATGAAGACCAACAAGACCTTCTAGAATTAACACACACAGAAAAAGATGTTCTTTTCATCATAGGGAGTTGGAATGCAAAACTGAGAAATCAAGAGATACCCAGAATAATAGTCAAGTTTGGCCTTAGGATACAAAATGAAACAGGGCAAAGGCTAACAGAGTTTAATCAAGAGAATACACTGGTCATAGCAAGTTCCTTTTTTCAACAACCCAGTAGTCAACTCTACACATGGACATCACTATAAGATCAGTACCAAAATTAGATTGATTATGTTCTGTGTGGCCAAAGACGGAGAAACTCTATACAGTCAGCAAAAACAAGACCTGGATTTGACTGTGCCTCAGATCATGAGCTCCTTATTGCAAAATTTAGGTTTAAATTGAAGAAAGTAGGGAAAATTACTAGGCCATTTAGGCATGACCTAAATCACATTCCTTATGATAATAAATTAGAGGTGACGAATAGATTTAAGTGATTAGATCTGGTAGANTCAATGGACAGGGGTTTGAGCAAACTCAGGGAGATGGTGAAGGGCAAGGAAGCTTGGCGTTCTGCAGTTCATGGGGTTGCAGAGATTCAGACATTACTTAACTATTAAACAACAACAAAGCCCATTGTATGGATGTACCGTGCTTCTTTAGTCATTCATAAACACAGTTAGGCTGTTTCTATTTTGCTGCTATGAACACTCACATAAAAGTTTTTGTGTGGACATATGTTTTCAACTCCTCTGAATACATACCTACAAGTGATGGTACTGGGCTCAGTGATTTACTTTTTGAGAACTGCTAACTATTTTCTAATGCACCACTTTACATACCCACAGCCTATGTACTAGGGTTCTAATTTTTCCACATTCTCATTAACACTTATTATTGTCTGTGATTTTTGTTTTGTCATTCTAAAGAATGGAAGTGACATAACATTTTTCTAATTAACATTTTTCCTAATTTGGAAACATACATTCAAAATAATTTGCTCACTTTTTAAATGTTTTTGATTATTTTGGTAGAATTTCAATAGTTCTGTATGTATCTTACTGTATATATATATATATATATATATATATATGTGCTATATATATATTACTAGACTGTAATCAGATATACAATTTGCAAATCACGTATCTTCCCTTTTTTGCATGCGTGGCCTTTTTAGTTTCTGAATAGTGACTTTAATGCACACAGAATTTCATCTTTAAAAAAATGCTATTAAGTTAACTTGTTCTTTAAGTATTATATGTAATGATTTCTTGTTCTTTAAGTATTACATGTAGGAACCATTGCATATTGCAAGGTCATGAAAATTCAACTCTCTTAAGAATTCTGTATATTCAGCTGGTATATTTCAGTATCTGATTCATTTTAACTTATTTTTTGCATATGGTTAGTGGTAGGGGGTCAAAATTTATTCTTTTGCCTGTAGATATCCATTTTCCCAGCACCATTCACTGACATTGTTTAGTACTATTGTTGAAAATCAATTAATCATAAATAGCCTAGCCTAGTGTGTGTGCTCAGTCCTATTCAACTGTTTGTGAATCCCATGAACTGTAGCCTTCCAGGCTCCTCTGTTCATGAAAGTTTCTTAGCAAGAGCACTGGAATGGATTGCCATTTACAACTCCAGGGGATCTCCCCAACCCAGGGATTGAACTCATGTCTCCTGCTTGTCAGGCAAATTCTTTACCACTATGTCACCTATGTGGGTTTATTTCTGGATTTTTAATTATATTCCATTGGTCTAATATTTACTCTATGCTGTTGCTGCTAAGTCACTTCAATCGTGTCCGACTCTGTGTGACCCCATAGACGGCAGCCCACCAGGCTCTCCTCTCCCTGGGATTCTCCAGGCAACAACACTGGAGTGGGTTGCCATTTCCTTCTCCAATGCATGAAAGTGAAAAGTGAAAGTAAAGTCGCTCAGCCTTGTCTAACTCTTAGCGACCCCATGGACTGCAGCCCACCAGGCTCCCCCGTCCCTGGGATTCTCCAGGCAACAGCACTGCAGTGGGGCGCCATCGCCTTCTCCATACTCTATGCTAGTACTACACAATCAAGACTTCTGTAGCTTGTATAGTAAGTTTTGAAATCCAGAAGTGTGAGTTTGCCTACTTAGCTGCTCTTTTGTAAGATGCTTTAGACTATTCTAGGTTCTTCATAACTTCCATATTAATTTTAGGATCAGTTTGTTAATTTCTGCAAGAAAAAAAAACAAATGACATTTGATAGGGATTATGTCAAACCTGTAGATCAATTCGGTGAGTATTGCCATCTCAACCGTATTAGGTCTGCCAACAAATGAACACATGCCTCCTTTTAATTTATTTAGTCTTTCTTTATTTCAATTATGCTTTGTAATGTTCAGTGCACAAGTAAAACATCTCTTTTTCTTAAATAGATCCCTAAGTATTTTGTTCTTTTTGATACTATTATACATGGACTTATTTTCTTAATTTTATTTTCAGGTTGTTTATTGCTTCAGTTCAGTCGCTCAATTGTGTCCAACTTTTTGTGACCCCATGGGCTGTTTATTGCTAGGGCACAGAAATAGTTAATTTTAGTATATTAATCTTGTATCCTGCTGACCTGATTTATTGACTGATGGTTGTTTTGTTTTGTTTTTAATCCCTAAGCATGATGTTAATTCCTCCATTCCAAATAGATATACTCTCTTTCTTTTTACTACCTAATTATCCAATATATGATCTTTATCAGGATATAAAAATTCCTTTCAACTTCTACTTTATTAAGCATTCTTTTTGTCAAAGAAATAATGTAATATTTGTTCTTTATTCTTGTCAATATGGTATATTAATCAAACATTACATTGTTAGTTATTCCATCGAGTGATATTTGTATGCTGAATAAACAAGCATTCCCGGGAGCAATTCTACTTTGTCATGGTGTATAATCCTTTTTACAAGGGCAGGATTCAATTTGACAGTATTTTGTTAAGGAAGTTTGTATCTATATTCCTAAAAGTTTTGGCCTATAATTGTCTTGCCTTGTGATATCTTTGTCTGGTTTTGGTATCGTCCCTCATAAAAGGTATAACACCTCATGTTTTTGCCTCACAAATGAATTGGAAGCTATGTTTTAGCCTACTGTTTTCTCCAAATGTTATCCACTGCCCCTCGGCAGCTGCTAGGTTAAACAACAGTTTAAATAACTCTCACTGTTTTCAAAAAACACCTGGGAAAAGAGGTTTTGTGGGCTTCCCTGGTAGCTCAGCTGGCAAAGAATCTGCCTGCAATACAGGAGACCCTGGTTCAATTCCTGGGTGGGGAGGGCCGCTGGAGAAGGGATAGGCTACCCACTCCATCCTTGGCCTTCCCTGGTGGCGCAGCTGGTAAAGAATCCACCTGCAGTGCAGGAGACCTGGGTGTGATCCCTGGCTTGGGAAGATCCCCAGGAGAAGGGAACGCTACCCACTCCAGTGCTCTGGCCTGGAGAATCCCATGGGCTCTTTGGTCCATGGGGTCGCAGAGAATCAACAGGGTTGAGCAACTTTCAGTTTCACGGCTGAGCTGAGTATGTCACATGGAGATAGTCTTTCAGAGAACCACTGGACAGGACAGAGAATAACAGGTCTCTGGAGAGGACGTTTGAAGGGGTAACAGCTTGCTCTGCCTTTCTGGAGATCAGAGTTTCACCATGATGGGAGGCTGTTGGTCTTCAAGCCCTTTGCAGATTTGAACGGGGGTGCGGTTATAAGGAAGAGGCCGCAATGCTCACTGATCTTACGAGATTCTGCTGTATTAATACTTAAATAAATGCTCCTCAGCTTGCTATAAGCATTTGGTCAATTTTCAGCAAACTGAAAAAAGTTTTATTTTCATAAATTTGCCAATATTGTTCCCATTACTTTTAAGGAGGGTAATTTTCATAGGTCTTTCAGACACTAAAGTTCAGTCACTCAGTCACGTCTGACTTTTTGCGACCCCATGTACTGCAGCATTCCAGGCCTGCCTGTCCAACACCAGCTCCCGGAGCTTGCTCAAAGTGATGTCCATTGAGTTTGATGCCATCCATCCATCTCATCCTCTGTCGTCCCCTTCTCCTCCTGCCCTCAATCTTGCCCAGCATCAGGGTCTTTTCCAATGAGTCAGCTTTTTGCATCACGTGGCCAAAGTATCGGGAGTGTCAGCTTCAGCATCAGTCCTTCCAATGAATGTTCAGGACTGATTTCCTTTAGGATGGACTGGTTGGATCTCCTTGCAGTCCAAGGGACTCTCAAGAGTTTTCTCCAACACCACAGTTCAAAAGCATCAATTCTTTGGTGCTCAGCTTTTTTTGTAGTCCAACTCTCACATCCATACATGACTGCTGGAAAAACCATAGCTTTGACTAGATGGACCTTTGTTGGCAAAGTAATGTCTCTGCT